TGGTACTGGGAAAACTGGATACCCACATGCAGAAGAATGAAATTAGACCCTCATCTCACACTGTCTATTAAAATCAACTCAAAGTGGATCCGACACCTAAAAAGTTAGATGTGAAACTAAAACTACTAGAATGAAATGTTCAGGGCAAGCTCCGTGACACTAGTCTGGGCAATGATTTTTAGACAGTGTTCTAAAAGCACAAACGGCAAAAGCAAACACAGACGAATGGTGTTATGCCTGACTATTGTTAATGAAAGGCTTTACAGAAGTAATCAATTAACTGAAGAGATGACTTACGGAAGAGTATATTTACAAACTGAATCTCTTTTTTTTTGGAGAGGTTTTTGCTATAGGGCACGTGCGCTCGCCAGACAGACAGAGAGAGAGAGAGATAGAAAGCGAGAAATCACCCCCCAGAGGGGATGGTCATGCCGCAATCCCTTCTCCTCCATTCTCCTCTTGGTATCTTGGGCACGCACGCACACGCGCCCGGTGTGAGTTTAAGCCACCGGGTCCAGGACTCAAACTGTGGTCGACTACGTGGGAGTCCAGCGACATAGCCATTAAACTAACTGCTGGTCCCTACAAACTGTATCTCTTCTTTTTTTTTTTTTTTTTTTTTTTGAGAGATTTTCACTGTAGGGCGCGTGCGCTCGCCAGACAGACAGAGAGAGACATAGAGACAGAAAGCAAGAAATCACCCCCCAGGGGGGATGGTCACGCCGCAATCCCTTCTCCTCCATTCTCCTCTCAGGATCTTGGGCACGCACGCACACGTGCCTGGCGTGAGTTTTAAGCCACCGGGTCCGGGACACGAACCGCGGTCGACTACGTGGGAGTCCAGCGACATAGCCATTACACTAACTGCTGGTTCCCACAAACTGTGTCTCTTGATAAGTGTAATGCAGTTGGTTTTCTTCCTTTTGCTTTTAGTATTTAAAATATGTAAGGAACTCAAACAACTCAATACTAAGAAAAAAAAATGTAATGGGCAAATGACCAAAATATAGACAGATCTAAAAAGGAAACACAAGTAACTAAGGTGTAAGAAAAATGTTCAATATTCCTAATCATCAGGGAAGTTGAAATAGCAATGAGGGGGACCAGCAGTTAGCATAATGGCTATGTCGCTGGACTCCCATGTAGTCAACCGCGGTTCTAGTCCTGGACCCTGCGGCTTAAACTCACGCCGGGCACATGTGCGTGTGCGCCCAAGATCCCAAGAGGAGAAAAGAGGAGAAGGGGTTGCGGTGTGGCCATTCCCCCGGGGAGGGGGGTGATTTCTCGCTTTTTATCTCTCTGTCTTTCTGGTGAGCGCACGCGCCCTATAGCAAAAACCTCTCAAAAAAAAAAAAATAGAAATAGCAATGAGGTATCCCCTCACACCTGTTATAATGACTACATAAAACATATGAAAGGGGACTGGCCTCATAGCACAGCACTTAGGCCTTGTACATGGGGAACCAGATCCCACATGGCCAACTGTGGTTCGAAGCCCAGCCCTAGTGGCTTACACACATGTAAGACATGTGTGTGTGTGTGCATGTGTGTCCCAAATCCTGAGAGGATGGAGAAATGGAGGAAAAAGGATTATACCATGACCACTGGGGGTTGCTTTGTCTGTCTCTTTCTCTCATCAGAACACATACTCTCTGCCATTGAAAAAGAAAACGATGGGGACCAGCAGGTGGTACAGTGGTTAAGGGCTCTGGACTTCCACATGGCCAACCATGGTTCAAGTCCTGGACCTGGCAGTTTGCTTTCTCTTTATCTCACTCTTACTCTGACCTTCTCTGGTCAAATTAAATAAATAAATAAAGTTAAATAAGAGAATTCTTTAAAACTAACTAACTAAATAAATAAAAAGATGAATGGAGGGGCCAGCAAGTGGTTTTTCGGTTAATGTGCCAGAATCCCACATGGCTGACCACAGTTCACATCCTGGGCCAGGTGGCTTGCTTTCCCTTTCTCGCTCACTCTCTGGTCAAATTTAAAAATAACAATAACAAATGGAATTAAATAAATAAAAATTTGTTAAAAGGGGGCAAAAAAGATAAATGGCAAAGAATATAGGATGAGTGAGAGGATGTAGAAAAAAATCCTTGCACACTATTATGGTAGGATCATAAATTAATGTAGCTATTATGGGAAATAGTATTGAAGTTCCTCAAAAAATTGGAATAGTTCCACTTCTTGGTACATATTCAAAAGGAATGAAATCATCATGTCAAAGAGAGCTCTGTATTCCATGTTCACTGTAGCACTATTCACAATGTGAAGATAACAGGGGGTCGGCAGGTGGCGTGGTGGTTAAAGGTGCTGGATTCCCACATGGCTCACAGCAGTTCAAGTCCCAAACCTGGTGGCTTGCTTTCTCTCTTTCTTTCTTTCTCTCTCTCTCTTTTTCTTGTCAAATTAAAAAATAATAGCAAGTGGAATTAAATAAATAAATAATTTAAAAAAATATAAAATAGAAGGGATGGAATCAAGGTTAGTGTCCATCAACAGAATGTGTGGTATGAGACTTCAGAAGTTCATGAATGAGCCAGCAGGTGGTGTGGAGGTTGAGGTAAAGGATCCCACATGATTGACTTGGTAGTTTGACTCCTAGACCTGGTAACTTTATTATTTTCTCTTTTTTAAGAATTATTTAATTTTGGGGCCAGTAGGTAGCATGATGGTTAAGGGTGCTGGACTCCTACATAGCTGACCACGGTTCAAGTCCCAGACCTAGCGACTTGTTTTCTCACTTTCTCTCTCTTTCTCTCTCACACTCTGTCCCTTGTCCCTCTCTGGTCAAACACACACACACATGTGTATGTATATCTGTATATGTGTGTGTATGTGTGTGTGTGTGTGTGTATACATATATATATAAAATCTTTAAAAGAGAGAATTATTTAATTTTATTTATTATTATTCTTCAATTTGACCAGAGAGAGAGAGAACAAGCTTCCAGGTCCAGAACTCAAATCAGTGTTGGCCATGTGGGAGTCCAACGCCTCTACTACCATGTCACCTGCCAGCCCCTAGACCTGGTAACTTTAAAATCATGCTGGGCACATGTGTATGCATGTCCAAAATCTTGAGAGGAGAGTTGAGAAGGGATTATGGTGTGACCATCTCCCCTGGGGGTGTATTTTCTCACTTTCCCTCTGTCTGTCTCTCTACCTCTCTCTCTCTCTCTCTCTCTCTGTCTCTCTCTGGCAAGCACACATGCCCTATAACAAAACAAAAAGTTCATGGAAAATGAAATGAAGTACGAATTAACTTTGGTGCCAAAAAATAGAACTATATGGATATTTTTTGTAATACACGTTTTCCCTAAACTTTTTGAGGATATTGTGTGTGTGTGTGTACACTGTATATGTACTGAACATGTAAACACGCATACATACACAAATACCATTAGGCCTTCAAAAAAGAAGGAAATCTTGTCTTCTGTGAAAACATGGATGAATCGGGAGGGCATTATGCTAAGTGAAATGAGCCAGGCACAGGAAGACAAATACTCCTGATCTTACATATAGAATATAAAAAGTGGAACTCATAGAGGCAGAGGGCAGAATGGCGATTACTGGATGTAAGGGGTGGGGAGGTGTTAGTCAGAGGCTACGGTTTCAGTTAGACGGTACGTTCTGGAGGTCTGTGGTAAAGCACGTTGACCACAGTTAATAGTAATGTACTGTATATTTCAAAATCGATAGTAGATCTGAAATGTTCTCATCCAAAGGAAAGTATGTAGGTGAGATGATATATTAATTAGCTTGATTTAATTGCTTTAGAATGTGCATGTGTGTATATATAAAATCAAACCATCGCGTTGTATAAAATATGTTTGGTTTTCATTCATTAATTATACCTTGATCAAGCTTGGAGAGGGGCAGGAAGGTTTATAAAAAGCCAGCCATTGACATTTACTGTTCTGTGGAGAACTGCCAAGATAAGTCACCAATCTTTTCATCTTTGTTTTCCTTCCTAAGTCATTTCATTCCTCTGTGTCCATGTGTCTCTATATCATTTCCTGTATAATTTGCCTTTGTGGGAATACATACAGACATGAAGTTATGTTTATGCCAGTCTCTTCTCTGTGTCCTCAAAAAGTTCGTGAGAAATGCGCAACCAGCAGTTAGCATAATGGCTATATCGCTGGATTCCTATGTAGTTAACCGCGGTTCGAGACCCAGACCCGGTGGCTTAAAACTCATGCCGGGCACTTGTGCGTGTGTGCCCAAGATCCCGAGAGGAGAATGGAGGAGAAGGGACTGTGGTATGGCCATCCCCCCTTGGAGGTGATTTCCCACTTTCTGTCTCTGTCACTCTTTGTCTGGCGAGCCCATGCGCCCTGTAGCAAAAACCTCTCAAAAAAAAAAAAAAAGTTCATGAGAAATGCATACTATGAAAAAACTATACACAGATTTTCATTATTTTGCACCCAAATAAGCTTGTACTTTAATTCCATTTTTTCTGTGAACTTTTTAAAGTCTTCTGAGGTATATTCCATCATTTTGTACTTGATGATAACAGAGTAAAAATATAACGTATTTTAGACTTAAAAAAAGATTATAGAATGCTAGCAAATCATTCTTTCTCAGTTCTGCCACTTAATATCTTAGTGAGGAGTTGATTATTGATGCGAGTACTGATTTTAAATTCTGTGGTATTATTATTCTATTATTCTATTGCTATTCTATTGCCATGTGCTGTAATTACAGGTTAACATGATTTGCAAAAGAGATTTTATTTCAGATCTTTATTTTTGTATTTACTATGGAGAATTTTTGGGAGGAGGAGGTTTATTTTTGTTGTTGTTTTTTCTCCTAATCATTCTGTGGTCAAAAATAAGTCTGGCACCTAACAAGTCAGTAATCGTGAAAATTTTATTCATTCTCAAGTTTCCTGCTATATTTTTATCAGTTGTTCTGATACACTAAGAGGAGAAAATTTCCTTCTTAAAATATATAAATAGAACAAATGTTTTACATATCTCTTTTTTAAAGGTTACAGTCGTCTTCATCCCTCGATGATTCAAGTCCACCAGATTTAATGAAAGATACTCACAGTATAAACAGCAGGCATGTAAGTACACCCATAAATGATAATACGGGTTGAGCATCCCTAACCCCAAAATCCAAAATCCTACATGCTTCAAAATCCTAAACATTTTGAGTACTGGCATGATGCTACAAATGAAAAATTCCACACCTGACCTCATATGACAAGTTGTGGTCAAAGTATTACACAAAACAGAGACCAGCAGTAGCGTAATGGCTATGTTGCTGGACTCCCACGTAGTCGACCGCGGTTCAAGTTCTGGACCCAGTGGCTTAAACTCACGCCAGGCGTGTGTGCGTGCGTGCCCAAGATCCCAAGAGGAGAATGGAGGAGAAGGGATTGCGGCATGGCCATCCCCCTGGAGGGTGATTTTTCGCTTTCTATCTCTCTGTCTCTCTCTGTCTTTCTGGCGAGCACACGCGCCCTATAGCAAAAACCTCTGAAAAAAAAAAAGTATTATACAAAACAAAAATAGTGTATCAAATTACCTTCAGATTATGAGTAGAAGGTATATATGAAACATAAATGAATTATATTCAGACTTGGGTCCTATCTCCAAAATAGCTCTTCATGTAAATGCAAATGTTCCAAAATCCAAAAATATGCAATATCCGAAACATTTCTGGTCCCAAACACTTTGGATAAGGGATACTGTATACATATTCATGAAATAAGGAATAATACAATTTGTTCCTTGTTGGTTATTTCTTTTCAGAAAAGAAACTGTTTTGTAAATAAAAAAAGAAAAAATTTCTGGCCACGCTGCTTTTTTAAAAGGCACTGTAGGATAGTGAGGAAGAGTAAAGAAGTTGGAAGTATACCATTTGGATCTAAGTTGTAACTCAGTCACTAACTACTATGTAACCTCAGGCTTGTTACTTACGCTCTCTGTGGCTCAGTCTCCTCTACTAGAGGAGAACTAGTCAATTGAGTGACTAACTGATTTAATACAAAACACCTCAAAACAGTTCTTGGTACATAGTACTCAATAAATGATATCTGTTGTTATTGTTATCTTAGTAGGTTTCAAATCAGTGGATTAAATGTATTCTTTATGGTATTAAAGAAAAGTAAGCTGGGACCAGCAGTTAGCGTAATGGCTAAGTCATTGGACTCCCACATAGTCGACCACGGTTCGCGTCCCGGACCCAGTAGCTTAAAAAACGCACACCGGGTGCGTGTGCGTGCGTGCCCAAGATCCTGGGAGGAGAATGGAGAAGGGATCGCAGCATGGCCATCCCCCCTCAGGGGTGATTTCTTGCTTTCTGTCTGTCTGTCTCTGTCTGGCGAGCGCATGTGCCTTATAGCAAAAACCTCTCCAAAAAAAAAAAAAAAAAAAAAAAAAGAAAAGTAAATAATATAAGCCACAGGATAAATACTATATACTGTTTAACTCAATTGAGCAAATACTAGCTATTTCAAATATATTGTCACATATACAAAAATAACCAAACCTTTTGCTATCTGGAAAAGTAAAATACAATATAATTTTATCACAGACAACAAAAAGCTTTAAAATAGATATGTAAACTAAGTAATATGTGAATACAGGAGAAGAGAAATTACATCTAACCAGGGACAAACAGGAAATTGAAAATGCAAATATTGTATTTTGACACAACATGATAAAAATCGAGTCTATTTTTTATTCATTCATTTAGCAGATGTTTGTTTGTTTGTTTGTTTTAAGAGAGGTTTTTGCTATAGGACATGCATGCTCACCAGAGAGACAGAGAGACAGAAAGCAAGAAATCACCCTCCAAGGATGGCTATGCTGCAGTCCCTTCTCCTTCATTCTCCTCTTGGGATTTTGGTCACACACCTGGCTTGAAAATTAAGCTGCCGGGTCCAAGACTTTAACTGTGGTCAACACATGGGAGTCCAGTGAGGTAGCCGTTATGCCATTTGCTGGTCCCTAGCAAATGTTTATTGACTGCTCATTTTGTGCAAGGGAGCATGCTAGAATCAGAGAGTCACTATAGTAAAACAAAATCCCCAAGTAGTATACATTATATAGACATTCTACAGATAAAGTTTATCAATTTAGTACAACAGTGCAAGTAAGTGACCTTTTATTCTGATGAGTTACTTTGAGTATTAGATTGTTTGACCTGTAACTTTGTAACAGTATAAAAACTTTTCGGTGTAAGCATCTCATTTAATTTGTTCCTCACTCCAGAGCACTATTTATCTTAGTAGTTTCATATGAGGTTTACTTGCCATCATTTTCTTAAAACGGAAATAACTTTGACCCCTAAGCATTTGTGTCATAAAATTTTCCTTCTTTATCAAAAACTTTTTCTTGGGACCAGCAGATGGCATAACGGTTACATTGCTTGGACTCCCATGTAGTTAACCACGGTTGAGTCTCGGACACGGAGGCTTAAAACTCAATGCCAGGTGTACAGTGATTACATGTAATAAAAAATATTTAAAATAATATAGTTTTTTTAGAGGTTTTTGCTATAGGGCGTGTGTGCTCGCCAGAATGACAGAGACAGAGAGACAAAAAGCGAGAAATCACCCCCCAGGGGGGATGGCCACACTGCAATCCCTTCTCCTCCATTCTCATCCCAGGATCTTGGGCACGCATGCACACGTGCCCAGCATGTTTTTAAGCCATCGGGTTCGGGACTCGAATTGTGGTCGACTACATGGGAGTCCAGCAACATAGCCATTATGCTAACTGCTGGTCCCAAATAATATATAAATTTTGAGTGGAAGAGAAAACAAAGAATAAGTGGGAAATCCTAGATCCTCAGTTTCCATTACTTATTTGGGGTTACCTGTATGTTATCAGACATGTGATCACATACTTGTGGCTATTATCAATAGAATTGATTTTTAAGTTCTTTTTTTAGCAATTTCATTATTGGTGTATAAAAATGCTACTGTTGGGACCAGCAGATGTTTAATGGCTATGTCGCTGGACTCTCATGTACTTGACCACAGTTCGAGTCCTAGACCTGATGGCTTAAATGTACACCAGGCACGTGTGCGTGTGTGCCCAAGATCCCGAGAGGAGAATGGAGGGGAAGGGATTGCAGCATGGCCATTCCCCCTGGGGGAGGGGGATGTGATTTCTCGCTTTTTGTCTCTGTCTTTCTGGCGAGCGCATGCACCCTATAGCAAAAACCTCTCCAAAACAAAAACAAAACCAAAATTCAATGCCAGAAACATGTGCATGCATTTCCAAAATCCCAAGAGGAAAATGGAGGAGAAGGGATTGTGGTGTGGCCATCCTCCCTAGAGGGTAATTTCTCACTTTTTGTCTCCATCTTTCTCTGTTTTTCTGGTGAATGCAAATGCCCTATAGCAAAAATATCTCTCAAAAAAATAATAAATAAATAATTTTTAAAAATAAAACTTTTCCTCATAGTACATACCTTCTTCAGTTATGGTTATAGAGACTGTGGGCTTTGGAGTCAGGCAGGCTAGGGTTAGAATCCTGTGGGTGACACCTTGGGCCTATTATTAGGCTCTTTAGGTCTCTGATAGGACCTACAATAAAGCTGCCTTGAAAGTGAAAGAGTCAAAGATAAGACAGTACAGAGGGTAGGGATAGATACCAGAGACCACAACAGAGGGGAATGGATGGGAGACGGCTGGGAGGGCCAGAGAGAAAGAACCATTTACCAGGCAGAAGAACATGAGACTCTCTGCTGAAGATGCTGTATGTGGGAATATCGTTCATTTAACTGTCATGTACTACATGCATTTCTGAAAACCACAGTGTGTGTTACAAAGATCTACATGATAGGATGTAGATTCAAGCAAAGTAATATGTAAAAATATACAGTTGCCTCACGGTATTTGAAAAATAGACGGTATGTGTGAGTGCTTGGCACATGGTCCTCAGTAAATGCCAGTGTCCACATTGATGATGGTGGTGGTGATGGTGGTGTGGGTGGTAAGCCCAGCAAGTAATAATTGCTAGACATCTTTATTTCATTATTGTAGATTCCTTACTAATTGTTTATTATTTTGATATTTATTTTGTCTTTCTAGGTGTCAAATAAGGAGTTTCTACTAAGTCCTTCTGAAATAAGGGAGCTGGAGGCTACTAAGCAAAATCCAAGTTCTGTTGCTGTCAGCAGTCATGAACCGTTCCTCAGTAAGCGTTCCTCGGCAGCTGCTAGACATTTCAGCCGTTCAGGGAAGAAAAATTTTATATATATTTTATTTAGATAGATAGATAGATAGATAGATAGATACACACACACACACACACACATATATATATATAGATATATATATATGTGTGTGTGTGTATATATAAATATATATATGTATGTGTATATGTATGTATGTGTGTGTATCTGTATATCTATAGATACCTATAGATATATATATATAAAATTACCAGAGGTCGTATGTGCTCACCAGAGAGAGACAGACAGAGGAAGAAAGAATCTCTTCTCATTCATTTCTGTTTGGGATTTTGGACACACAGTTACCTCGTGTGTTTTTGAAGCCACATGTACTGGTATTTGAACTACGGTCAGCCACATGGGGTCTGACTTCCTTAACTATAAGGCTATGGGACCAGTACTCCAGAAAATTCTTTGTGTGTTTGTGTGTGTATGTGTGTGTGTGTGGGGGGGGAGGTGGCGTAAGACATGTGTACTTGTTGGAGAGAGACAAAGGAAAAGTGAGAAGTTACCTTCGCCTCCACCCCAGGGGGGATGACCACGCTGCAATATATTCACCATTTCCCTCCTAGAATTTTGGGCATGCATGCACATGCACCAGGTGTGATTTTCAAGCCACTGGATCTGGGATTCAGACTGTGACCAGCCATGTGGGAATTTAGCACCTTAACCACCATGTGACCTTGTGGCCTAGAAAATTCTTAAGTCACTGTATTTTCAAGCATGAAAGATTCTGGAGAAGCAGTTTTAACTAAGATTTTTCCACCTAACACAAGATTCTCATACTCTTGATGTTGAAATGTATATTATTTAATGGACCCGTTATTAACAACCCAGTTATAAGACCAGCCTGTGGCCTAGTGGCTAAGGGAGCTGGATCCCATGTGGCTGACTGCACAGTTCAGGGACCAGCTTAGAAGTCAAGCTGGGTGTGTGTGTGTGGCCAAAACTCTAAAAGGAGGGAGAAATGGAGGACACAGGATTGTGGCGTGACCATTCCCCATGAAACATGCTTTCTCCCTTTACATTTTGGGACCAGGAGATGGCGTAATGGTTACGTCACTGAACTCCAACGTAGTTGACCGTGGTTCATGTCCCGGACGCAACAGGTTAAAACTCACGCCAAGAGCGTGTGTGTGCGTGCCCAATATCCCGAGAGGAGAATGGAGGAGAAGGGATTGTGGTATAGCTATTCCCCCCTGGGGAGGGGGTGATTTCTCACTTTCTGTCTCTCTCTTCCTTTTTGTGTCTCCAGCACACCCATAGCAAAAACCTCTCTCTCAAAAAAAATTTTAAAAAGGTGCTTTTGTCTGTCTTCATACTTTATGATTAAACATTCAAACAGAGTTTTTTCACAAGGTAAACTCCAGTTAAATTCCTCCAAAGAGGCTCTCCACATGTACATACACCCAGTTCCTAACTTTCAACTGCCTGGCAATCTGTATCATTTAGGTACCTTTTCTGTCAGAAAACTCATATCCAGCTCTCTTCAGAGCATGGGATCAATTCCATATAATTTATCTGACAGCAGATTATATAAAAATAAGTGACCCATTTGAAACTATATAAGGCTTCTACAACATAAGTCATATACTTTGCCTTCAGAAGTACATTACGGTATTCTGTCCTTACTTTGCCTTGCCAATTTTGTTTGAAGATTTATTTATTGAGGCCAGCAGGTGACATAGTGGTTAAGGTGCTGGACTCCCATGTGGCTAACCACAGTTTGAATCCCAAACCCAGTGGCTTGAAATTCATGCCAGGCGCATGTGAACACATGCCCAAAATCCAGAGAGGAAAGTAGAGAAGGGATTGTGGCATGGCCATCCCCCCTGGGGGTACTTTCTTGCTTGCTTTTTAAATTTTATTTACTTATTATTATTAATTTGACCAGAGAGAGAGGGAAAGTAAGAAAGAAGCCACCACGTTCGAGACTTGAACCACAGTTGGCCACATGAGAATCCAACACCTTAACTACCATGCCCTCTGCTGGCCCTGATTTCTTCCTTTCTGTGTCTCTGTCTCTTTGGCCAGCGTACGCACACTATGGTAAAAATGTATCCAAAGAAAGGATTACTGGGGCAGGCAGGTGGCGTGGTGGTTAAGGCACCACCTTATGTCATGTCTACTTTCTTTGCTAGGTGACAGTGCACAGCTGGATTTCGATGCCCTGTGTGACAATGACGACACAGCCATGGCTGCGTTCATGAATTACTTAGAAGCAGAGGGGGGCCTCGGAGACCCTGGGGACTTCAGTGACATCCAGTGGACACTCTAATATTTGGTGTTTAACTCTAAAAAGGAGAAACGTTTTAAACTATTTCATTTACAGAAAACTGTTCTTCAGTACTGTATTATAGATACTGTTTTTATCTTTTATTAACGGTCTACCAACATTTACCATTTGCACCTCACTCTATAGGGGTGTGGAGAAATAATAATGTTTTCCTCCAAAGAGGACCAAACAAAGTTTATTCCAGACCCCATTATTCTGTGAAATGGCTTAAAATCCTCTCGCAGCCATATTTTTGCTAAAATATTTCTAACCTAAAAGCTCACATAAGTATTGTTTTGCCTATGTTTTTATTTTTTGATGCAGTTTTGTTTGGGGAATTTAATATATTGGCATTTTTCTTGTGTCCAAGATTCATTTTTAATAGATTTATAATAGTAGGTTTATGTCATTTGGAATGTTGCCATTTCTTGCGGATTTCCTTAATGGAAGATAGGGCTTACACACTTTAATAAAATGGTGAGTACTTGAACATTAATGGGACAGTGCAATTTACAGACATAATCACAATGAATAGTATATTTTATCTTTGTAGAATTAGGTCATCAAAAAGGCAGGATATTTCTGTTCGATCATATTTTTTTTAGTTAGATTTTAAGTGAGATGATTTTTTTAATTTAAAACCCAGAAAAAACAACAACAACAACAACAAAAGAACAAGTTAGCTTATAGAAAAGGAAGGATCCTGGGCATTAGATCTCAGTGATAAACCATTGCATATAAGATTTACTCTTTTTTATTTTTTTAATTGCCTGAAGGCATGTGCTTCTGCTAGAGAGAGACAGAGAAGAGGGACAAGGAGAAAACACCCCCAACGGGGTGTGGTCACACTGCAATCCCTTCTGCTCCATATCTCTGTCCTGTTGGGATTTGGGGTATGTATACACCCTTGCCCAACATGTTTTTCAAGTCAGTGGGTCCTAGTCCATATTTGAACTGCATGATCAGTATGTGGGATTCGGTTCCCACAACCACTAGGCTATGAGACTGCCCAAGATTTATTCTTAATATAACCACTCGAGGTTTTCCTTGTAGATAAAACAGGTTTTCAGTGTTGAAAACATGCTCAGTCATAGACTGGTCCTCGAGGAGGGAACAGGCCCAGGCTTTATTTTAAAGGTCTTATGTAAAACTACACATTAAATTCGTGTATTTTTAAAAATTTAATTTGTAGAAACCAGTTTCTTTATGCACATGAAAGTGATGATCTCACTGGTTAAATGATTAGTTAACTGACCCAAGAACTAGTTGTGGCCTTCTAGATTATTAGGCAATTACAGTTATTATTGCCTGTAACCAAAGGTAAAGAAACAAATGGTAAGTATATTTTCTAAATCATGAGTCTATGAGAAGTAATTTAAAAACCAATTTTCTATTTATAATTAAAATTTTAGAGACCATTCTTTTAAATAGTACTTATTCCAGAGGTGGCTCAAATTGAGTATAAGAATGAAGATTTAAGATAGTGTATATCTCTAATATCTTCTTGCAGATCAAACTTTTATACCATCTTGTGTATGTGTGCATGTGTGTGTACACGCGCAGTGGTGTGTTTTTTAGACAGTCTCATTATGTCCTGATCTTCCCATCTCAACCTCCCAAATGACAAGGGCCACAGGCATGGGCCATCATGCTCTGCTTCTTTTTAGAACCCATCAGGAATCAATCCCAGGCTTCCCATGCGGCCTCAGCCTCTGAGCAGCAGCATCCAGCATGTGCTATTGCAGCTGGGCCGATACCTTATGTTTTACTAGCTCTTTGGTGTTTTCCATATGGTGTTCTCACATATTTTCTCTCGTGCCTCCCAAGTGAAAGTGAGCTATGCTAGGAAACTAGGGTGGAAGGCCTCAGACTCCGATGTGAGGTTCAAGTGCAGTTTCCTCTGTGTAGCACTGTAGCTTTCCAGCAAGAGTCCCTCAGTGAAACAAAGCCTTGCTTTGAACCTGCATAATATTTTTGTAGGCTGTAGGTGATAGATGAGAACTTTCTTCAGGCATTTTAATGACGAACCTACCAAAGTATTGTTCAAATAACCTAGACATATGTGTCCTTCAAGGGTGAACTTCGCAGGGGCAGTTTGATCTCCAAGTTTACTTTGATGCTCTGATTCTAATCTACGGACTTGGCAGTGGTGTAGACTCTAGAACAGTGCTGCCCAGAGCTGTAGCCACCGGTCAGTGTAGCTGTTGAGCCTTGAAATGTGTCTAGCACAAGCCAAGCTGTGTTGAAAATGTAAAGTGCATGCCAGATTTTGAAGGCTTAGTATTACTAAATAATGCAAAATTGTATATTAACAAGTTTATGTTGATTACATATTGCAGTGATACTTTGAATATACTGAATTAAACAATAGAGGGGCCAGCAGGTGGCCTGGTGGTTAAGGCACTGGGTTCCCACATGGCAGACCATGATTCAAGTCCTGGACCTGGTGGCTTGTTTCCTCTCTCTTCCTGTCTCTGTCTCTCTCTGTGGTCAAATTGAAGAAAAAGAAAAAAATTAAGTAAATAATACTAAAAAAAATTTTTTTTAAAGAAAGAAAACAGTAAAGCTTATTTTATTTGTATCCTTTTTTACTTTTTTAGGGTGACCACTAAACATTTTTAAATTACACATACAGCTCACATAGTTCTATTGGACAGCACTGTTCTAGAACATTTTATTAAGTGTATGTTTTTTTTGTTTTTGTTTTTTTTGGAGAGGTTTTTGCTATAGGGCGCGTGCGCTCGCCAGACAGACAGAGACATAGAGACAGAAAGTGAGAAGTCATCCCCCAGGGAGGATGATCATGCCGCAATCCCTTCTCCTCTCAGGATCTTGGGCACGCATGCACATGCGCCCAGCGTGAGTTTTAAGCCACTGGGTCTGGGACGCAAACCACGGTCAACTACGTGGGAGTTCAGCGACATAGCCATTACGCTAACTGCTGGTTCCCAAGTGTATGTCATTGAAGTAGACCAAAGGTTATATCACAAGGATGATATTTGCCTCTAAATACTGTGTTTAAAGAACATGTATGCATTGGTTCTTGATTCAGTACAAACAACTATGAGCCTCTATCCATGTACCAAATCTAAAACTTGGAAAACAGTGAACTTTAAAATGCTATCATATTTTATTACACGATGATAGCCTGAAATTCAATAAAACCTGAGGCCTTGCAGCAGTAGCACATGCTGGGCACTGCTGCCCAGCAAGCCGAGGCCATGTGGGAACCCTGTGTCCAGTTTTCAGCCCTAAAACAAAACAAGAAATAAAACAAACAAAGCTAGATGTGGTGGTGTGTGCCTGTAGTCCCAGCTACCTGGGAGGCTGAGGCAGGAGTATTGTGATACAGCAGGCCCCTGTCTAAAATACCACACTGTACACACACGAGTTATATGTTGATACCATATAGTGGTCATTAAATTTGAAGATCTGTTGAGAAATAGAAAGATAAACAGGGAAATGTCGAACAGACATTTTGAATAAGTAAATGGGGTTAAAGGCAAGTGTTTATTTATGTGTCCCAGAAGAAAAGACAGTCTTGGTCACCAAGGTCTTTGAGGACTCTCTGAAGAATCTGGGACACAGGGATATGAAGTAGCCAGTATCTAATTAGTGGTCCGGAGTCAGTGGTCTCCAGCTTCAGATGCTGCTCTTATGAGGTACCTCCCCTCAGGTGTGTCATCTTTGAACGCTGGAATTGGAGACTCAGATTTGCCCAGCACAGTGTTCTGAACAGAGCAGGGCTGACATCTAGAATTATCTAGAAGCCATATAGAAAAACTGCTAAGTGGACGCAAGGTGCCACTTTACCATTTTTAGAGTGCTTTGTTTTCATTAGTAGGTTAATTTTTCAAGCGCCCTGGGGCCTAGGAGAGGCCTGTATGACTTTTGTGCCTAAGTTGGCCTCTCTGCTGTGGTTGTAATATGAGAAGCATTTCATTTGCAAGAGCCTTCTCACAGAATATACGATTTTGACTTAGGGAGCTTTCCAGATGTGGCATCAGTAAAAACTGATCTTCAAAAGGAAATCTGTACAGCTTGGAATGTGTGTTCTGAGCTCATTTGAGAGTATATGGTGTATTTGTGTGTGTGTGTGTGTGTGTGTGTGACTGCACTTACACCTTTGAGTTCATATTTGTCTTTTATACAATTTTTAGCTCTTTTCCAGTTCACTTGTCTGTATATTGGTATTTTTTAAATTTTGTGGTAAAAAATGAAAAAAGTGAAATTAAATTATATTTTATAATAATTACTAGTTTATAGTGTTGTTTGTTGGTGTTTTTTTAACCAACTTCCTCCCCAAAAAAAGTGTTCTTTACTTTATAACGTGAAGACAGAGATTACAGAAATAATCCAGTGCTCTCAAACCACTGGGCGGACGGTGGTTTACTATTGATAGATCAGTTTGCGTGTGTTCATCAGGGCATGCTAACTGCTGTAGTAGTTCCAAAATCTCAGTGGCTTAACCCAGTAAAGGCTCCTTTCTGTTCCCATTAGCTCTGTCTGGTATCATTAGTTCTGTCTGTCCCTCTGACTATCTCCTCCCTCACTGCCTCTTCCTCTTTCCATTTTTCAGCTTTGCTTTCTTCTAAGCTGATTTTATCCTTTGGTGGACCCTCTCCCCAGGACACTCAGAAGCTCCAAGCATACATTGTTTTTATAATTAGCAATATCAATGGAAAGAGAACTCTATTTCCTAGTAATTCACAAAAAAAAATCCATTAATTGGGCCTCTGCATCAGCTTGATTCATACCAACTTTCCTGGTCAGCGGGCTGGAATTGACACACTGGCCAGACTTTGGTCACATGCCCAGTCCTGGGTTGAGGTTGTAAATCAGCCCTGTTGGAATCCTATAAACAACATGGGAATCTCTGAACATGTTGGAATCTCCTCTCCCATGGGGGGTGGGGTGAGGGACCAACTCCCTAGAAATACTATTGCTAGCAGAAGAGTCTAGTACAGCTAACCAAACCTTGATTCTGGAAAACTCTGTGCTGGGGTGCCTCCTACACAACTGGAGATACTTTGGGGACCACCCCTCAACTAGGAAGCAATTCATTCCCTTTGCAACACAGCTTGGCCTTGATATAAGTTAGACAATGGAGACCTGTAACCGCAAAGTGAATCTTTGAGTTATGATACAGTCCATCAATTGGATTATATTGTCAGAGGCTTAAAAAATGGGATGAGATTCTGTATGCCCAATATTTCATGGCCTGTTATCAAAATCAAAGGCTACAGAAAGAAGTGCTATCTTGACACGAGTGTGGAGCCACCCACAAGCCAAAAGGGAAAGCCAATGCTCCCAGTCCTAGAAAGTCCTGAAGATGAGTTACTCTCTTCCACGGTCAACTGCCTCTCACCTACCTGTCCCATCCTCCCCGTCCACTTCTTCCAGCTTGTCAAACATACCAAGTCCTACGGCATTCGGACTCCTCCAACTTCCCTCATCCAAGGATCAGCCCCCTTCCTTACACTTGTCCCTCAACCCCAAATCCAGATCCCCCTCTCTGGTAGTTCAACAACCTGGACCTCGCCCAGTGAGCATGCGTAGTGGCACCAGCCAGGGAACCCATGAAGGCTGTGTCTTAGAGAGGTACCAAATAGGGATGGAAACTTGGGCCCTGTTTGTATTTCTTTCACTGCCTCTGACCTGTTCAACTGAAAAGATCACTCAAAATATTACAGGAGACCCCTAGGGCTTTCCCAGCCAAGTTACGGGAATCTTACAAACCCATCTGGGTGGATGTCCTAATTTCCTTCACACTCTCTGAACAGGGGAAGAAAGGGCTTTAATCAGCCATAGCAA